CAAATTTTATCGTAACTGCATTATCATTTAAAAATAAATGAGAAGTTGTATTCTAGTTGAAATGTTTTTACAGTACACATTTAGAGTAATCCCATTACACTGTCATTACACCCAGTTTTACTGCTGATATCTTTTAATTCCAGATGAATGCTCTTCTTGGTAAGTACTTCCAGATTAATTCATGGTTTCCAAACTGTAGGGCATCCCCCCTCCCCCGTATATGTGTGTGTGGGGGGGGAGGCTTTTGCCAGGTGAACCCAAAAAATAGCAATGAAAGAATTGGGAAAAGTAAAAAATAACTTTTAACACTTTAAATTTTCATATAACAGCTCATGTAGATGTTGATGGATGGTCTAAAACATTACATCCTATGAAGTGTTTTATGTCAGAATGATCGGTTATAATACATATGTTGAGAGAGAAAGTTGTAAAGAGATACAGCACAATCATGGATAATGTGCCATGCTACACCCTTTATGTTTTATGGGTGTTGTCGAAGAGAAGCCAGACATCTATCAGTATCAACTTATGCTCTTTTAGAAGATGTTCCTTTAATATAATAGAACAGACATTACTGGTTACTAGGTGCCATTTTTCTTTTTTCTTTACTAGACTACAAAACAAATACAGTTATAAAATATCACTAGCATATCGTTTACTTTCAGCCAGAGGATGGAGATAGAAAAGTGCATTCTTGTCAGCAAACAATAAATTGGACCAGTCAAAAATGATGCAGTTTAGATTATCATCAGTAATGAAAGACCATATGCACATTATTATGAACACAAAAGATATCATACATGAATCAGGGTAAAGAGAAAACACCTTAACATTGTAGCATCATGTTAATAGATCCACTAACAATTCTACAACAACTCACTACAGAGAATGTATAGTTCCTGCAGGTTACTTTTCTATAAGTAACTTATATATGATAACCTACACTTCACAAAGTATAGTTCCTGCAGGTTACTTTTCAATAAATAACTTTTATATGATAACCTACACTTCACAAAGTATAGTTCCTGCAGGTTACTTTTCAATAAATAACTTTTATATGATAACCTACACTTCACAAAGTATAGTTCCTGCAGGTTACTTTTAAATAAGTAACTTATATATGATAACCTACACTTCACAAAGTATAGTTCCTGCAGGTTACTTTTCAATAAATAACTTTTATATGACAACCTACATTTCACAAAATACAGTTCTTGCAGGTTACTTTTCAATAAGTAACTTATATATGATAACCTACACTTCACAAAATGTAGCTTTTACATGCTACTTTTCAATAAATAACTTTTATATGACAACCTACACTTCAAAAAATATTGCATTTACATGTTACTTTTCAATAAATAATTTTTTATATGGTAACGTACACTTCAAGAAGTATAGTTCTTGCAGGTTACTTTTCAATAAATTATTAATATATGATAACCTACACTTCACAAAATGTAGCTTTTACATGCTACTTTTCAATAAATAACTTACAACGTACACCTCACAAGCTAACTTTAATGGACAAACAAATTGAACATGTCATATATTTTTACTCTTCTAAACTTATGTCCAAGAAACTGAAAAAAATTGCACAACTAAAAAAACAACACATAAAAAAACATGACCAGACCATTGTCATCTTATTATAACAATTATACATTATCAAGACCCTAAATGCTAAAATATAATTAAATTCACTATGTATGTCACAGCGACCTTTTTTTCAACAGGATTACTCTACTGAACACACTACAGTCAGTACACTAATGTGAAAGAAGTAATCACAATTGAAGCATTTTTGGTGGGACAAGGATTCGAACCTATGATCCTCAGATTGCGAGTCAAGCACCCTAACCACCTGGCCATGTAATTTATACAAATAATACTGAAGTATGAGTAGTTACCTTAAAAATATCTTGTCTGCAAATACAGGAAAATTACACATTACTTCATTAGTTTTACTGTTCAAAAGATAATAGTTTCCTTGGGTAATTACATGACCAATAATATTTAACTTGTCTACATTTTAGATTGAATTTCAAATAAGTATGCTCCTCTACTTTAAGAGATATCGTATAATGACAAAGTTTGTAAGTCTATATGATTTTGTATCATCGACCATCACGCAATAAACTTTTCCAAAATTATTATGGCCTGAACCAATATGAATTTGAAACTGAATTCAAAAACCTAATATGTTGGCCAATACTTGATTAGAACGATTAAGTTTCTTACATGTACTTAAGATTTAAAATAATGTATATTTGTATAGAGATAGGATTGAATATACCATTGTCTCGGTTAATTTTGGATACCCAAGTTAGTAAAAACCTGTACATCATCCCACCTCAGACTAAGTATACACAGCATAACTTCATTTACTGATATTAAAACTTAAAATGTACAAATGGCATTTTTTTAAGATTCTTTAGCATAAACAATATTCTCCACTAACCAATAAAAACAGCAAATTTTTTTAATCTTTGGCTTTGTATCACAATATTCACACACACACACACACACTTCACTACCATTAACTATTCATAAAATTTAACAAGACCTTAATGGTTCAAGTTGAGTAATATCACAAAAATAATCAATACAAACATATATATGCAATTAAAAAAAGGTACACCATCATTTTTCAACTCCTGTTTATTTTTCTAAGGCTGAATTGGTGTGGTTGTTGTAACTTAAAAAACAAACAATATTAATACCTTTTCATAACCTATTCTTTCTTTGATCTTTTTTAGTTTAATTTGTAATATTTAGTAGTTTCTCTCTCTCTCTCTTTCTTTATATATACTTCGTATTGTACCAGTCACAAACTCCAGACCAACTCAACGCATGCATTATAAAGCTTATACCTTACCAACTGTGTAACATATGTTGTTCTAATCGTACTCAGAAAAAACGTTTTTTATAAATTTCTAATCTCATAAAACAGTGGCATATTTTAGCAGCACAATGATACGTACCTGCCAAACAGAAATTCCACCATTTCAGCTTTTAAATAGTTAAAATACCCTTTACCTTAGTAAAACATTAATAAAGTTTAAGGTTTACAAAGTAAACATTAATTACAGAATTTAGATACAAAAATTAATAAATAATGAGATAAATTTAAAAATGGACTAAAAAAAAGTAAGATATGCTTTTAGGTGTAAAAAACACAAATTAAAATACAGATTTAAAATGTAAAAAAAGATGCAAGATGTTGAACTTTCAGACTTACAATATATTATCGAAGATTATAATTATGCTAAAATTAAGAGTTTTGGGGAAGATGATAGAATGCCTTTAAATTTATCAGTGAACACAAACCATAATAAAAACTTATCAGGAATTAACATCAGAATTTTCAGAGATCATCTCATAGTCACTATCATCGTAACCACTTGTTTGATCTGATGATCCTGCATGTAAGTTTTTGTTGCTACTTCTTGAATGCAAACTTTGTGATCCTTTGAACAATCCCAAATGAGAAACTATTTCTTTTTGTACAGTTCTTCGTAACTGGTCTATAATGTCGAGGCCAGAGTTCATAAGAAGAGATTGCTGAGTAACTGCCAGGGGTTTCTGGGTAGAGCTCGACGTCTCAACTTCGGAAAATGCAAGTCCTTTTGCAAAGACGTTTTCTTCTTCACTTTCAGAGGAAGAACTGAACTCTCTTTCAACAGCACGATGATACTGCATTTCTTTTATTGTGTCCTTCTGAACAGATGTTGGAAGATGAACTTCAATGTCATCTTCACTTTCATCATGTACATCTGGAAAATTTCCCAGGCCCTGAATCAAGGATAACTCGTCATCTGGTAGAAAGACAGATTTAACTTATTTAAACTTGTATGCAAAATGTGGATAAACATATTATATTTGTGAAAGTGAAAGAGCACATTTTTATGGGAAAAAGAAAAAGGATAAACAGAAATCTGATAAATCAAATTATTTGTGATTAGTGTTCCTTGACAATCGAACATCGGTTTCCTGATTAAATTGATAAACTTGGCCTCAATTATTCACAAAATCTTTACTTATCTGTACATACAAAAAAGATAATGACAAGTTAATACAGTAATTCTCAATGTTTCCACATTTTCGTAGTGATGAAACAGCAAACACGACCTCTGTATATATATTCCTGTTTAATAACAAAAGATTCGTACCTTCGTTAAGAAGAGATTCTATTCCAAGCTCCTGAGCCATACTCTGAAATTCTTCAGGATCGGGCTGCGTTAGTGAAGATGTTGATCTCGAGTTGGAGGGATGCTTGTTATTATTATTACCCCTGTCTTCACTAAGGCTGAGATCCATAGCAATGGAATCTGTTGATGCTGGTGGCAAGAACTCGTCTAATTCACTTTCATTATCTGTGCTTTCACCAGTCAAGCTTTCTCCTTGAACAAAAGAACAACTTTTATAAAATACGTAGAAAATTTCTAAAAGTATTCTCACAATCGAGAAAACACTCATACGAGTCTCTTTTTTAAAAAGTTTATCCCAAAAAATATTTGGAATACAATAAATTCAGGCTTTAAAAAAAAAAATCAATAATAATTACCCCACTACCTAAACCACAAGCTTTTCTTCCTGATTTAACAATTACATAGATAGCTGTAATTTAATTTTAATACCAGTCTCAGAATTTTTGAATTTCTCCACAATTTCCAATTTATATAAAATATCAAAAATAATTTAATCTGATCTATAAAATATTAAAATTAAAAGTTAATAGCTTCCTAATACACATATAACTATTTGGTATTTTGATAAAAAAGATAGCAATTTACAGTATTAAGAGCTGTATTGATAAAAACAAATGTGCATCATATTTGAAAATAGAATGATTGTTTAAGCCATGTGCATGTGTGTTTTAATTAACAAAACAAACCTTAACAACTACAACAACAATGCTGCATATATTAAAAGACCACCAGGGCACAGGCTATAATGAGGAATATAAGATGTACCCGCGTTTTAGAGGTGACTCCGGAAGATAAGATCTTAAAAAGGGGTGGAGATAAACTGTGTATTAGTCTTAACCTCCATTTGTTAGTCGCACATGTTAAAGAAAGAAGAATAAACATAAAATAAGAATAAGTTAGGGGAGCCAGATGTGGGTGGTCAAGCCCACAACGTCCCACATCTATATCACCCTTCATCCCCTGCAGACAGTTGTGGGAAGGTCACTGCTCTCCAAAGAAATGTAAAATGAAAGAAAAAATAAATAAGCAAGGTTCTACCATTGGGGGTAAGTAAGGGAACCTTCACTCCTGATGTTAGCATTACAGCCCCCATTATAGTAGTAAAATCTGAAATATATATTTTACTTGGTTGAGTAGGCATGGACAAGAAAAATTAAAGTTTCTACACACTGTGACTTTGAATAACTATTAATTAAAAAATATAAAACATCTAACTTACCTTTCTAGTAATACAACTAAACTTTAAATTAATAGCTAGTCAAGTTTTTAAGTACAACACCTTTTGTTACAAATTTAAATAGCATCACTTAATAACTGTTCGTGGTTGTGTTTGAATTATAAGAAAAAAGTAAAATATATTTGTTGTTATATCATTAAATAAAAGCGATATATACATAAATCATACGTGCATGCAATCATGCTGTTTTCAATGAATCAAAACATTCAACATCTTTAGTTTGTTTTCTCAAGTACACAAGTTTTAATGATGAAGAAGGTTTTTGTATTTAAATCAACATTCAACAATATAACAATATATTTAAGTTAGTCACTTCTGCATGTGTATATCAGTACTGTGAATTGATATATTATCTATTTATAGCTGAACAGAAAAATCAAAAAATGTAGATGAATTTGAAAAATGTGTGAAAGATCTGGATAACATTAGGAATGCCTGTGGAAATAAAAAGCATAGAGATGTCCCTGAATATTTGTTAGTTGTGGACTTGTTTGATTTTTATTATATTAATGTTTGGTTCATGTTTAAGCATGGCAACTTTCTGCTCCGAAAATCTGTGGTTGTTTTTGTTCATGGACTTGTGATAGAAATTTCTTGTGATCCTTTAACATGATGTTCAAGTTACATCGTGTTTCTTTCTGCTAATCATTTAAAATAATGTTCAAGTTACATCCTGTTTCATCTACGTAAAAAGTTGGGAAATTGATACAGTGTTTTGTAAAGGTTTCTTGGCAGAGTGAGCTCATAAAATAATTTTGTTAATGTGTTTAATTTTCATTCCAGGGGTGAAAATGAACCTAGATGTTATGTTAAGGTTATATTTACGTGTTAGTCTTTTTGAAATTTCTGTTACAAATATGCTAATGTTTTCTATAGAAGAGATAGTACTAGTGATTAGTATGGTATCAGTGGCTTGAGCTTTACAACTTTTTCACACGATAATTCTTGATGTATACTAAATAATTTATGTTACTCTATTAACAGAGCTTACATAATCATCTATTTGTGCCTCTCCAACACAATTAATACCTATTATCCAGTAATTATAAGAACAAAGTTTCACTCGACAGAAGGTGTTTACTCTTGGTGAATGACAATTAAAATCTAATGCCCACATTTACGTTCTTCTGGTATACTAAATAATTTATGTTACTCTATTAACAGAGCTTACATAATCATCTATTTGTGCCCCTCCAACACACAATTAATACCTATTATCCAGTAATTATAAGAACAAAGTTTCACTCGACAGAAGGTGTTTACTCTTGGTGAATGACAATTAAAATCTAATGCCCACATTTACGTTCTTCTGGTATTCCCAGCATTCCACTACTGGATGCAGCCACAATGGTAATTATCGAGTTGGCGGGAGAAAATATCCTTGTGTCAATACAGTCTCGTCCTGCCTGTGAGCTAGCACGAGGGTGACCTGCATTGTCTGTTGAGCATCCAAATTTGACTTACCTAAGGTAGCCCTCTCTTGGCTAAAAGTAACCCCAAATAGTTCTTTAACAGTTCCAAACCATGATGCAGAAACAACAAAAAGTAAAAGACCTGGTCCCAGGGATACAACCATCACTGAAAATAAATGTAAGTCTACTACAATAATCGAAGCAGTTACCAGAAGGTCCACATATTTCTGTTACTAGTTACTTCATTAAAGTAATTTTTAATTTAGAATATTATTAAGTATCAAACACCATTAACAAAAAAAAAAGAATGCATACATAATACACTTAATTTTATGCTTAACATGCATGTTAAGTTTAATTGATTAACAACACAGAGAACAAATTTAAGTTATATTTATGCGACTTCTTTGACTGTATTCATTCTTATTTTGCTATTATAATTTACAATAGGAATATTTTACATTTTAGAACTTTATAATTTGAAGAAAAACAGCAGAAACCTTAGTACTTAAAAATTAATTCTAAGTCATTGAATTTCAGCTTCATTCAATTATTCTATGTTAGTAATGCTGTTGTTTCAGCTACAAAATAGCTAAATTTAATATTTTTAACTAAACACTAGATAAGTAGCTTTTGTATGGACATGTGAATGTTGTGTACATCCACAAGATAAGAATACTACAGTCAATGTAGACCAGCGTTTCCAAACTTTATGTGATGGTACCCCCAATTAATTATTTTTCTCCTGGCTCCCCTTCCTTCATACTGAATAAAGTGACAATAATAGCAAACACAGTGGTCTCTTTGCCTCTCTTTAATCAGTTTTTTTATTAAGTATTAGCAAAACTCCACTGACTGACATTGAGGTTAACTAGTATTGCTTATAATGAACAGTTATAGAACTCCACTGACTGACATTGAGGTTAACTAGTATTGCTTATAATGAACAGTTATAGAACTCCACTGACTGACATTGAGGTTAACTAGTATT